GAGAGAGAGAGAGAGGCAAACCAAGAAACAGACTCTTTATACAGAACGAACTGATAGGAGGTGGGTGGGGGATGGGCAAAATAGGTGGTGGGGATTAAGAAGGGCACTCGTGATGAGCACTGAGTGTTATAGGGAAGTATTGAATCACTATATTGTACACCTGAAACTGATCTTACACTGTATGTCCACTAACTGAAATTTAAATAGAAACTTAAAAAAAAAAAAAACCTAAATAGTGGAGGCATAACAAAAAGGAGGGTAAGAGAGAAGGTAAAATTATTGTGGGAAATACCCTGGTTCCTCAGGATAACCTTCGACTCAATATTCAGACTGAGTCTAAAGTAGAGCTCTCTTGAACCACATCCAGAGTCCTCAGGGGTCCCCGAGGAAAATAGACTATGTGTGACTTCTCTCTGTGTTCCTATGCCTATGCACAGTGTTTGGCATGTATTAAGTACTCCATAAATATTTTCTGAATGAACGTTGTAACTGAAAGAAAGGACATCATTTGTTCCTTTTACAAAAAATAACAACAAAATATATTGATTATCTACTGTGTACCAGGTTAAATTTGCCTACTTTGCCTGGGATCTAATCTCTAGCAATGGTTTCACAGCAAAGTTCTAGGGAATGGCCAAAGGGCACCTGAGTTTCCTTGTCCTATCTCTTTAAGATCCACTCATTCTAGAGAACTAGATGCCCACTCCCTCCCACCAGTTATTCTTTTATATCGTTTTTCCAGATCTAGTTCATAAATAAGGTGCTAAAAAAATTATCAGTATTATTATTTAAAAGTTTATTTATTTTTGAGAGAGAGGGAGAACACAAGTGAAGGACGGACAGAGAGAGAGGGTGAGAGAGAATCCCAAGCAGGCTCAGTGCTGTCAGCACAGAGCCCGACTCAGGGCTGGATCCCATGAACCAGGCGATCATGACCTGAGCTGAAACCAAGAGTCAGACGCTCAAGTGACTGAGCCACTCAGCCCCCCACCCCCACAATTATTTTGTTAACACAGAAGCTGTTCCTCTCCCCTTTCTCTACACTGTCACATATTCATAGTCTTTGAGTTCATTTCTGTTAAGAATGTGTGACCGTCCGGGGCAGCACTGGCAAAGCCGGACTCACCTAAAGCTGTACAGTTATCTTCGGATTCTCCTGGGATGCATGAAGGAATCACGGTGGTGCCGAAAACTGCTTGGAGAAGATGGCAACCTAATAACGGGGGGAATCCAAATATATAAACAGTGCTTCAAAAAAAGAAACCCTGATCACAGTTTCATGTAACCACACTACTTACAGGGTTGTTTTAATGATTTCAAGAATTTGATCCATTGAAACCATAAAAGAAACTGATTTGTAAAAACAGGAAATAATTGAAAATCAATGAGCCCCCAGCTCTCGGTCTAGGGGTAAAAACCTTGGCATGACATTCCTAATTTCAGATTTGCCCTGTTCCCAGGGTCAAAGACCTGATTTTGAAATGTGATTTCCTAGAAGCTTAGCAACAGAAATTGTAGAGACTTTCCACTATTTTGCTCCATGATGTGTTTGGAGCAATGCTCCAAGATAGAGCTTATTACACACACGCACGCACACACACACACACACACACACACACACACACACACACACAAAGGCTTAACTGACAATCAGTTTCTATTTACAGTAACAACTAAACAGGACTCTCAACCATGTATATGTTCCTTTGTTGATTTAAGTGCCCAGCTTACTGTTTGCATTGTATTATGCACAAAAGTAGATTTTAATTAATAAAATGTAATCTAAGTAAAGTCAGAATATATCTTATCTAACGTGGGAGCAAACAAACACGCTAGATGAAGCACTGAGCCCTAGAATCCAGTTTCTGTCAGCCCAGTAAAAGTTTGAACAAGGCATTTCATTGTGTGTCCCCACTTGATAGGCCAATGTTGGAAAACAGGCTCCGGAATGACTTAAGTAGTTTCTGAATTAATAGAAAGTGTAAGAAGAGTCCTTTCCATTGCACAGATGTTTACTGAAGAGGGTTTAGCTGCTTCTGTTTAGGAGTCGGGCATTTGCGCTTCACCCCTCTTTCTAGGCTAGACGAGTAACTTATATAATAAATACTAATGGTGGTGATGCAGTTGTGGATAGCAGTTAACATTTCTTGAGCATGTACTATATTCAGGCGTGGCTCTTGTCCTCTTTATCTATATTATCTCATTTAATCCACCCAGTGACTCTTTGAAGAAGCTACTACTGTTATCCCCACTAAGCATATGATAAAACTGAGACTTAAGGAGTTTAAGTAACTTTCCCAAGGGTACATAGCAATGTTGTTAATGGGCCACATTATAGAACCTGGAAAGGGGCAATAATACAGACATCACACAGACAAACCAGGGTAAATATGATTGAAGCAGAGTATTTTAATGCTGTAGGGAGGCAACCAAGTGTGATGGAAAGGCAATCCTGGGGGAAAACTTGGGTTATGTGATTTTGGACAAATTAATTAGTTTCTCTGGCTCTAGATTTCCCCCACCTTACAGAGTTTGGGGGTGAATTAAATTAAATGATCTTTTTCCAAAATGCCTAACACACCAGACACTCCCACAAATGTTCCAGGATACTCAGGGTCTAGCCTCTAGTTTTAGCAGTATGTGTGCGTAGTGCCCTCTCCTGGTCTATAACAAGATTACAAATCTCTTTGTAATTTGATATTTTAAAGTATGATTTAATCCAAGTAATAAAAGATTTTATCTTATTTTTTTTCTCGATCAGAGGAGACATGGATATGTTAAACATACTGCATATTATTGCTAAAAACTACATTACACATCTGCATCATAGCTTCTAATTTCATAAGTTTCAAACTAGACCCTTAGAACAATCCTATGAAGTAGTTAGTAGCCCCCCCAAATTTAACATCAGGGAAGTTAAATTAAATGTCTTGTCCAAGACCGATTACATAGTGAGCGTAGAAAATAAGAGTTGGAATCTATGTTTGGACAGCAAGTCTCATAATCTTCCAATGATTTGACAATGCCTTTTTTGAAAAGTTTAGAACTATCTCCTTCCCACCCCATACTTCTCCTACAATATAAATAACTGCTTCAGTTGCTCATAAAGGAAAAAAAAAATCATCTTTCTTAAATAACAAAAAAGAAATCCTAAAGTCTGGATTTCATTGTCATTTGAACAGAGATAGAAAAAGATAATTTGTTCCACACAGCTTTTTTTTTTTTAATATTTATTTTTGGGAGAGAGAGAGAGAGAGAGAGAGAGAGAGAGAGAGAGAATGTACCGCGAGGGAGGAGCAGAGAGAGAGAATGTACTGCGAGGGAGGAGCAGAGAGAGAGGGGGACAGAGGATCCAAATGGGCTCTGTGCTGAGGGGCTGGAACTCAGGATCCCTGAGATCATGACCTGAGCTGAAGTCAGACGTTTAACCGACTGAACCACCCAGGTGCCCCTCTCTATATATCTTTTTTATGAAGAATGAACCATCAACCAGGCCAGCTTTGTTCCACTTCTCGATATAATTTGGCCATGCATTTTCCTATGGCAGAATTAAACCCTTTAACTTATACAGTCCGCTCAACACAAACAGGAGCTCTAGCTGTGTGTTTTTACATTCTTGGTGCCGGTCTTCCTCCATGCTTCTTTATCTGGGGAAGGCTTTGGAGAAAACGTTACCAGTGCTCCTACCAAGAATTTCGCCCGTCAGCCCCATCCACCGTGCAAACACACATTGGAAGCTCATTTCTCTATCCTTTGTGGAAATCAGAAACTAGCCTTTCCTGTTTGGATCTGCTTACACCTGCAATCTGCAACTATTATAGAATTCAGCTAATTGTTTTGGGGTGTTGCTTCTTAGTCTTTTTTTTTTTTTTTAAGGTTTTTAGTAGTTGTTAGTTTTTCCACTGTTGGAAACTTTGTTCCACCTGGTCAGGCCACAGGTGACATATTTGTCTTTGTGAATTAAAGAATGTTCAGTGCAGGGTGTGTCTCCACAAAAACTGGGCTCTGGTAACCTGCGACGCTCCCTTGGACATCGTCCATTGCTCAGGATGGTTTCTGCGAGACTAGCTCTCGCTGCATGAATTGAACATCCGGGTCTTTTACAGATGAACTGGTAAATAATTTTAAATGCTTTCCTCAAATGAAAGACTGCAGCTCCATCATGGATGTACATAGCCAATAAAATAGCAAAATTGGTTCTAAAGCTGTGTCCCTCTGCATAGCTCTGTTTCTTTAAAAGAATGATTCTCGAGCTTCTGTCAAGTTCGTCTTTGCTCCAGGCCCTTGCAAACTCGAGTAGGTGGAGCTGATCAAAATATTTAAAAAGGGAACCCGTGGAGAATTCTGAAATCCACCACCTTGTCACCCTTAGGAAACACTACTCATTAAAGTCAGACAGGGAAGGAATAGACGCTAAAGTCATATACATACATTTCCTTAATCGTACAGGTTTATTCCCTGCCTTTAGTGTTATTTGAACAATGATGGTCTATGATTCTATTGCAAATATTGTATTTGAGTTTTTGATTTTTGACCATGGGTCTCTGCTAAGAAAATAATTCACTAGGATATTAAGGATTTTGGATAGTGTCAGTGTGTCCAGAAAACAGATCTGGTGACAAGCCGTACGTCGGTAACTGAAGTATAGAGGAACTGCGTGCAAGGTGGGATGGGGCAGACTATCTGTAAACTCAAAACGGGCTCTTGGCACTCTGTTTCAAGAAATGCAATAAAAGTCAAATTTCCATCAGAGGCTATTATTTCTGTCAAATTTCCCAAATGAGTTTTAGGAATTTGATGCACACCTGCTCCTCTCTGTACCTTCACCTTTCAGAGATTGTGTTTCAATGAAATCTCGAAGGTGCCAGCAGGAAGTGGTGTAGGTGATTCACAGGATACAAATCACCTCTACTCGGTGAGTCAGGGCCGAGCCCACATCCTTACACAATATTGGGGCACCGTGCGTGGGAGAAGAAGTTTGAGGATCATTATCTGAATGGGGGTAGCACGAAATGCCATGGGCCCTGAGGCGCTAAGAAGTGCTTGCCCAACAGTCAGGAGGAACGCCAGATGTAGAAAATGTCTTTCTTACTGCATGGGGTTTCCTTCACTTTGCTTCCTTACGGCTACACCGAGGGGCTCAATTAGAAGGAGGCTGGGATTTGGGGATTGGCTGACCAAGCCGATACTGCAAAGTCAAGGGCAATTCTCCAGGAGAAAATGGCTTTCCTGAATAGCAATGAAGCAAAGAAAAATGACCCCAAATAAAATGAGGTAGGTTACAGAATGAAAGAAATCATCTTATTTTCCCAATTTAACCTTTCAGAATATTTAGACCAGAACGGTAAACTCATAATGAATCATGATATTTGCCCATCCCAAGCAGGTATCAAAATCCGCTTTGTTCACGCTTTTGGTGTGGTCACGTGCCTACCCTGCTCACGGACTGTTAGTTTTGTACCTTCTTCCATGGCAGTCTATAATTTTAGAATTTGTAACATAGTAGGCTTGTTAGGTCTTGTATAATTTCAAAGAGTGAATATGCTTTCACCATTTCCAGATGCCTTGTTGTTTAAAATTAAAATTTACTATTAGATAAGGTGTGGCTTCACCTTGGCTAAAATAACTCTAAACTCTTTATCATGTCAGATCCCAAAAAGAACTCTGTCAGTATTTTTGAACATAGTCTCCTTCCCAGAGAACTACATGAAAAGAGAGAGAGACAGAGAGAATATAAACCTTGCCTTTTTCCAGAAATCATTCTCTTCCTACAGCTTTTCAGTGCTAGGCTCATAACTAAGCTTCATTAAAAAATAAATGTAGGGGTGCCTGGGTGGCTCAATCGGTTGGGCATCCGACTCCAGCTCAGGTCATGATCTCACCATTCATGAGTTCGAGCCCTGCGTTGGGCTCTGTGCTGACAGCTCAGAGCTTGGAGCCTGCTTCAGATCTGTGTCTCCCTCTCTCTCTGCCCCTCCCCTGCTCTCACTCTATCTTTCTCAAAAATAAATAAACATAAAAAAATAATAAATGTAAAAACCAACTATAAAGGGCGCCTGGGTGGCTCAGTCCGTTAAGCGTCCAACTTCGGCTCAGGTCATGATCTCGCGGTCTGTGAGTTTGAGCCCCGCGTCGGGCTCTGGGCTGATGGCTCAGAGTCTGGAGCCTGTTTCAGATTCTGTGTCTCCCTCTCTCTCTGACCCTCCCCCGTTCATGCTCTGTCTCTTTCTGTCTCAAAAATAAATAAAAACGTTAAAAAAAAATTACAAAAAAACAACAACTATAACTGTTCAAATAAACAGGATGAAACCAGAAGTTGCTATATAATAACAAGTTACAAATAAGTATTTTTTTAAGTTTATTTATGAGAGAGAGAGAGAGAGAGAGAGGAGGGGAGAAAGGGAAGAGAGAAAGAATCCTAAGTAGGCTCCATGCTGTCAGCACAGAGCTCAATGTGGGGTTCAATGTCATGAACTGTGAGATCATGACCCAAGCTGAAACCAAGAGTCAGGAACTTAACCGACTGAGCCACCCAGGAGCCCCAAATTAGTATTTCTTTTAATTTTGAGTCTTAAAAGGTCGACATAGGATCTTCCTTGCCAAATGGCAAGAAAAGATTTATTAGGCCATGCTTTTTAATTCATAGGCATGAAATAACACTCTTCAATTCTAGTAGTAATTCCTAAATCATACTTCAATGTACTCATATATTTTAGTCATTATACAATACCGTACTTAAAGCTATTCAATTGAGAAGCAGTGAGTTAAAATGTGAAGGTATAGTTTACTTCACCCTAAAAATGGATTTAAAGATGAATATCTTATTCACAATGGAAGTGTTCTCATAATGCAGGAGAATGCATATCAACTCTTGTGGAAAAGGTACAATTTATACTAACCTGGGTGTTTGGAATTTTTTGATGAAGAGGTCTAAATGTGGGACGCATTCCTTAAAAGCCAAAGTTTCATCTCTAGAGTATTTCACATCTCCTATTGAAACTATTTTTTTTCTTTAAGTTGTTACGTGGGAAGTATTTTTATGACCCTGTCTGCCTCTACTCCCTTTCATCTTACTTCTCACACCTATCCCTACTGATCCAATTCAGAAATGTAAATTACTATCACATTACTGTCTCAGAAGAAAGACCTCGGAAAGGAACAACAGTCTGTACTCTATAACTGTTCGCCATGAGCCTTCTTTTCATTACGGCCATATTATGGCTTGAAGCTTTGAATGCTTAACGGTGTTTTTAGAAGCACATTGGCTATCATATCATTCATTCTTTATAGATGCCTACTGCCAAAGATGAATTTGCCAAAAAACAGAGTTTTAATAAATGACCATCAAGAAAGAAAGGAGAGAACAAATATATAAAAGGTAATTTTTTTTTAAATTTTTTTTTCAACGTTTATTTATTTTTGGGACAGAGAGAGACAGAGCATGAACGGGGGAGGGGCAGAGAGAGAGGGAGACACAGAATCGGAAACAGGCTCCAGACTCTGAGCCATCAGCCCAGAGCCCGACGCGGGGCTCGAACTCACGGACCGCGAGATCGTGACCTGGCTGAAGTCGGACGCTTAACCGACTGCGCCACCCAGGCGCCCCAGTAATTTTTAAAGCCTCAAAGTTAATTATACTTCATGCACAGGAACTGTGTAATGTAAGCAGCACATAGAAGCTGCTAAGAAATTTTATTTTGTGAAAATACATTTTTTTGTTGTTGTTGTTAACTTGGGGGACTTCAGTGAAAAGCCCATTTGCATCGGTAGTGTGATAGGAAGGGTGGAAAGGGCTTAGTTATACTCTATAAATGGAAAAAGCAGGGGGTAGCTTACTTACTTTTAGTAACCATATATGTCAAATTCCATAAATATTGAGATTTTTCTCTATGCAAGAGATTGGACAAAATGCTGACAGGAAAATTAATGCAAAAGACATAGTTTCTGTCCTCAACAGAGTTAATAGGCTAGAGACCTGGCGGGGAGAAGCAAAGAGAGAAGTGAGAGGTGATGCCAAGTTCCTGAAAATACCAAGGATGGTGATGCCATTAAAAGAGTAGAAAACATAGGCAGGGCAACAGTTTGTGGTGGCATTTGCAGCTAGGGGGCATGAAGGGGGGACAGAATGAATAAAGGAATTTGAGATCGTATTTCATATATTACCTGTTTTTATTTATGAGGCATTTGAGAATATACTTCTTTTTTTAAAGTTTATTTATTTTGAAAGAGAGAGAGAGAGATTGAGAATCCAAGCTGGCTCCACACTGTCAGCACAGAGCCCAAACCCATGACCCACAAGATCATGACCTGAGCCAAAGAGTCAGAGTCTGATACTCAACTGACTGAGCCACCCATGTGCCCTGGGAATATAGTTCTTAGATAAAAGAATAAGAATGGATTTGTGGAGTCTATTTGAAAGTCATATGTGGAAATACGACCTTTAAAGGCATAGGAGTGATTCAGACGTTCCAAGGCAAATCACATGGAATGGAAAATAATAGCACTTTGGGAAATGGGTGATGAGGAATGGATAGAAATGGCCAAGAAAACTGGAGAAAAAAAGTAAGTTCAGTGTTGTGGGATCCAAGAGAGCACTGAGTTTTAAAAGGAGGCATGGGGTGGTCCGCAACACAGTGATTGTAGAAAGTCATTCATTATGATGAATGGCTCCATCGTAAATAAGATTCACCTTTATTCAAGGCAACTGGTGCTAAATCAGCAATAAAAATTGTTAACTGGATTTTTTTTTTTTAAACACTAGCATCGATTTTGTATTTGCACCTACCATTAATGTTAATTTTACTTGTCTTGGCAACTCGAGCACTAATTCAAACTGTGAATTATGAGTGGCAATGTGTTATAGCAATGGAAAATACATTAAGCTTGTGGTTCTCAACCTGGAGTAATATTGTCACCTGGGGAACATTTGGCAATGTCTGGAGACATTGTTGTCACAACTGCGTAGGTGCTACTGACATCTAGTGGGTAGAGACCAGAGTTGCTGCTCAACTCCCTGCAAGGCACAGGAGAGCCCACAACAAAGAATTAGCTAGTCCATAATGTAAATAGAGCCAAGGCTGAAAAAAAAAAACCCTGCACTAGACCTGTTAGGTATGGAGTCCACCTCTAGCTCAGATAATACTTTTATCCCACTGTAGCTCCTGCAACTGAGTTTCCTTATCTCTGAAAACAGAGACCTAAGGAGTAGAGTGGACTGGGGAGGGGGTGGGGGGAGATGGAACTTTTAGATTACTCTAAGGTTCCTTTCATTTCTAAAACAATACCTCTCTTTCTCTTACTAACTATCCATCATCCAGTCATATACTGCTCAGTCCCTCTCTCTTGTTCTCCCTCTCTCTCTCTCTCTCTCATACACACACACACACACACACACACACACACAGTGCAGATATACTTAAATTTTATTAGGTATACCGTCAGTGAACACAGACTATATTAAGTGTTAGAAATGAGAAAAATAGGGAAGAAAAAGTACTAAACTTTATTATTAAACACACTGAATTTTCAAAAACTATTGCATAGTCTCCAAATATTTTGCTTCTCAGACACATTTTCAAAAGACAGCTTCGAGTTTGACACATAGTGACGAGAACTTTGAATAAAGTACCATCCTAATCGTCCATCCAACAAACCTGTACTGAGTGTTGAAAATAAGTCAGTCACGAAGTGGATGGTCAAAGAGGAACACGGTACCAGTAAGGCGACTTGGGGCTGACACAGACTTACAATGGGACTTAAAAAGGGCAGGACCCAGGATGGGCGTGGTGCAAAGGAGGCAGAGGTAGGTTGCACATTTATTTTGGAGTAGTGGGAGAAAGGAGGAGGGGGGTAACTGAGAAGGTTTGATACTTCTCTCCAGTCTTTTTTTTTTAAGTTTATTTATTTTGCGAGAGAAAGAGAGAATATGAGCGAGGGAGGGACAGAGAGAGGGGGAGAGAGAGAATTCCAAGCACACTCCATGCCACCAGCATGGAGCCCGACATGGCACACGAACCATGAGATCATGACCTGAGCCCAAATCAAGAGCTGGAGGCTTAACGGACTGAGCTTCCCAGGTGCCCCACTTCTCTTCAGTCTTAAAAGGTGAGTAAAGCTTTCGCCAAAAAGGAAGTGTGAGCTGGGGCACAGTAGAGGGCACAGCATATTCAAGCATGGAACCTTACACACTGGGTTACTCACTTCTTTTTAAGTCTGTTTTCTCCCTTGAAAACTGGGAATATTAATACATTTCCCAGCCTAAAGGGAGTTATTGTAAGGATGCAACGAGGCTTTTTCTAAGAAAGCACTTGATGATGGTGATAATGGTGATAACAGCTCTAATTTTAAAAGTGCTTTTTATTATTTTATAATATCATCAGAGTAATTAGATTTGTATACAATTACCTGACAACATAGCTGCTATGATCTCCATTTTACAGATGAGAAAACTGAGGCTCAGAGAGGAATAAATCTTTCTGAAAGTATGAAATAAAGGAACAGGGGTATGGAAACTGTCTTCCATACACAATGTCTCTTGACTCAAAACTATAATGTTTGACATATGTAAACATGTGTGTGTTTATATATAAGTATGAGAGGGGGGCTTTTTCCCCTCCTTGGGGGAAAGTTATATTTATATTCAGGAGATATATATATATACACATATATATGTGTGTGTGTGTATACATATATATATATCAGAATATATATCAGATATATATATCATATATATATCATATATATAACATATATATATATTTATATCAGATATATATATATCAGAATATAACTCAGTTATATTCAGGAGGAGTTATATTTAACTCACTTTCATGCCTCAAATTTAAAATTCAGGATTTTGGGGCGCCTGGGTGGCTCAGTCGGTTGAGCGTCCGACTTGGGCTCAGGTCATTATCTCGCAGTCTGTGAGTTCGAGCCCCGCGTCGGGCTCTGTGCTGACAGCTCAGAGCCTGGAGCCTGCTTCATTCGGATTCTGTGTCTCCCTCTCTCTCTCTCTCTGCCCCTCCCCCGCTCATGCTGTCTCTCTCTCTCTCTCTCTCTCTCTCTCTCTGTCAAAAATAAATAAACATTAAAAAAAATTTTTTTTAATTCAGGATTTTGCCCTAAGAAATTAAGGGTTAACATTTTTTTTTTTCATGACAATTATCAAAGCATCTTGTATACTGTAAATAGTAGCCTGGTTAACGAAATCATGACTTTAACCTAGAATGTCACTGAATCTTCATTGGCCCTATCATTAGACACCCAATTTTACATAAACCGTATCACCAGAGGACACGCAGTCTGTTACGTTACTTCATTTTTTGCAAAGGTTCCAGAATTGCCATGCCAAGGTGATGGCTGCGAGGATCATTCTCCCTAAGAATCCGTCCTATTACAGCTTTGGGGAATCTTCCCATTCTCGTCCAAAGCAATGGTCCCCACGGCAGTTGCAGCCATATTACTTAGACAATTTGCGTAGGCCAATACCCAGAGCGAAGACTGACAGGTGTGGAAACCACACCTTCACTTCCAGTCTCTGTGAAGGGGATTTCTTACATGTCATTTGCATCTCTCAGCTTATCATGAACTAGGAAATGGAAGATTCTTGGGCAAAAAATGGACAGAAGGCATTCAAGTTCATTTTTTCCAAAACGACTTGGTGCGTATTGTACTTTTTTCTTCCAAGGAAGTGTGTTTATTTTCTCACTGTTGGCAGAGATGTGCTATAGATTAGATTAGATTCCATCTTAGTTCCTTATTGGTATTATGTTAAATTCACTAGAATATAAAAAGATACCGGGAATGAAAAAAGGCATAAGTACGCTTCTCCTTACCTATACGTCTAGGTACATGCAGAAATAAGGCCTCAGTTGATTGGTATAACGACTCCTTGGGAATAAAAGTCATTTCCTAGAAATTGCGTTCATTAAAAATGCTGAATGCCGGGTAAGTAAAAATTCAACATATTTTAGCACCGCTTAAGAAAACAGTGACATGTTTTCTGGGCTTGATTTTGAGTGACACCTTACAGATACCATCTTTGTACATATGCTTGTCCCGATAACGGATTCTAAGCCTTGGGGCAGCCTCCAGACTACTCTGAAACATCTTTATTAGAACCTGTGATTTTTATTATGCTCCTGATGATCCTGAGACCCTCTGGCTCCTCCCACATCGCTCCCGAAAGACCATGCCATTGACTATCATCTCTAAGTCCTTGTAAGGTATTTGACTTCACTTAGGGTTAGTCTCTTCATTTGTCACAGGGCTAATCACACCTACCTCACAGAGTGATTTTAAGGAATAAATGAGATGATTGTGCATGAAGCACTCAACACGCAAAGTGGTTAGCTCACAGCTAGCATTTGGTAACTGTCCGTATCTTTCCCAACTCCCGGATTTGGGCCCCGGTGCTGAACCACACACCCCAATTACCCAAATTGTTTATATGGTAAGATGATGGAGGAAGGCAGACAGGTGATGCCAATACTCAGGCAGTTCATAAACTCTCAGGTCAACAGGAAAGATCCGAGACGAGCCAAAGTCTCACTGAGACGCGTGCTGCTTATATTTTCAGGAAAGAATGCTTATTCTGCTCAATTCTCTGTCGTTGTGCAGTGAAGTAGGACTAAACCATCTTAGAGATGGCATTCGGGAACATGCTCAAAAGCGCATCTGGGTATCAGTGAAAATGCTGGATTTTAGATTAAGAGCCTTTCTAAACATTAGCTGCAGAACTCAAGATAAAAATTTCTCCTCTTTGTTCTGGGCCAATCACAAGATTAGAAATGATAGTTCAGCTCTAAAACGGCAGATTACTTATAAATGTGTTATCTAGTTTGGGGAATCTCAACCATGTACTTAGTATTGAGTAAGCTAAAAGTGCTGACAAATCCAGGTGTGACCTTCCTCAGTTGAGCCCTGCTTTTCTACAGGAACTTGGGTCACACTTTCCCGGTATATAAAGCAAGAACATCAATATCAAATACTTATAAAATTTAAAAGTAACCAATTGATTGTATGAATGTGTAGCAGTTTAAATCTGCACGTGTTGGAGGCAGAGGATGAAACTGAAGGCATCTATATTTTTTCCACAGTCATACACATACTTTCCACCAAAAAAAGCAGGAACAAAATATTTGCTGAAGTCTGAACTAATCTTTGGAAGAACAGGCATTTGGGAAAAGTATTTCTAGGTAATCTTTCATTGGGGGTGGGAGTCCATTTCAAAAATACCAGGTGGCCTTGTCTTTTGTTACATATGCTTTAGAATAAGACTACCGGACTTGCATACCTGATTAGAGTATAGAGATATGACAGAGAACTTCAAACAGGAACTTTCCTAGTGGCAGAGAAATATCTAAACAAACTGGGAAAACAGAAACTGACCTAGCTCATTTGGAAATGGGCTTGGCGGCTGATGAAATAGGTGAACTATAATTAAGTAATGCAATAAAGGAGTTAAACACTTTCATGACAACAAAAACACACACAACACACTCTCTAGGTGGGTAGTCACCAGGTTATTCATAGGCTCTTGCTGTCTCAAATTAGAATATTCAATGAGTGGCCCAGAACAGACACTTGCATTGTTCCCAGGCAGCCCTACAGGTGGAAAGAAAAAAAAGCACGGAGCCTTTCTGACCTCTAGGTTCATTTCTAGCTCTAGGAAGACAGTCCCCTTTCCAATTGTATTTTTTTCACAGACCCTTCAAAGCAAAGATAGCCAAGCCAAATCACTTACTGAGAATCTTCTAGCAAATCACTCTTAGCACAGTTTTGGCAGAAACCACAGACCCAGTTTCTACTTCAGTTCCTAAACTTGTACAAGTAACTTCTAACTATGCATAGTATGCATGTCATTAGGTCTCCCAAGCCCTGAGATAAGGCGTGTCGAAATAATAATTTAACTGTCACATCCTGCATAGGTAGAGTTAATTTGTTAGGGGAATTTGCCCCATTGCAACCCCAGAAGGAATGTGCGGCTGGCAACTTTTATTTCCTTATTAAGGTTTTCCTATACACCTCCAAATCCCTCTTGAAATTTAAGGAA